TTCTGCCAATAGTGGAGCAGGCAGCCATAATTTTCAGATAGACATGAAAGGTCTACAGCATCTATTTAAAAGAATGGCAGGGGTGGTCTCCCTGGTGGGTTAGGATCCAGGAAGCCAAATATTGTAAGACGTAACTGGAGCCATTATTTACACGCTTTCTGAAGCATTTATTTACACCACTACAGGTAACGCCTCCAAAGCCAACAAGCATGTTTTAAGTGGTGTCAGTATTGTTAGGGTCGCAATTTTATCAGCAGTTAATGCCCACCACCCGTGTGCAGTTAAACATTTATGCTTTTTGCTACCTGTCGGGATTTTATTGTTTGGAAACCTCCCCTTGTGCTGTTGGAGGATCGTCTCAGGTACATAATCCTTTTCCAATGCAAAACCACTCCAGATTCTGTCATTCATTGTATTGTATTATTTTTGCTCTCCATTTTTCACCCCCTTCTGTGCATCCGTGCCCCTCACTTAAGAGTTATACAGCATGTAAACAGACCCTTCAATCCAACCAGTGCACGCCAACCATAATCACTTATCTATACCCCTCATGATTTTATAAACCTCTATAAGATTACCCCCTCAACATACTACCTTCCAGTGGAAAAAGGTCCCTGCCTATCCAGCCTCTCGTTATAACTCAAACCCTGCAGTCCTGGCAACAGCTGGTAAATCTTTTCTGAGCCCTGCCCAGCTTAATAATATCCTTCATATCAAACTTGTATTCCAGTCTGTTTCATTTCTAACCAGACCCTTTGTTGTTTGAAATATTATTTCCTTCTTCTAAATGCCAGAGAATCGGGCAGACAGCCCTCTGATCCTAGGAATTGATCTTGTGAACCTTAGTTATATCCTCTTTGAGGCAAGGACAGGTTAGGAGCTTTAAGACTGTGCATGGTACTCCAGTGTGGTCTCACCAAAGCCCTCTGCAATTGTAGCCACACATCCTTGCTGTTGAATTCTAAAGCTCTTGCAACATGGGCCAATGGGTAATTTGGCAAATTACCTTCCCAATCACTGTTTCACGTGAGGACACCCAGGTGCTCTGACCACAAGTCTATTTGTGAAATCTCAGTGGAGACCCAAAGCTGGAGGGATAATTACATCATCTTCTACAGCTTGGAACGGAACCTGGACAGAAAATTAAAAGGTGACATGCTCTCAGTGGCTTTGAGAAGTTTGAGGAAACCTAGTAATTGAGCTACTGGCAGGGAGAGGGAGAAGTGAGAGACTCTTTGTCTGATTTCTTGACCAAGTTCTGTTTCTTTACCACCCACCTCAGGTGTATCAGTCAAAAGTTCAAGCGTTGTCCTCCCCTGCCACCCACTAGTGTCATCATCGCCTTCCACAATGAGGCCTGGTCTACTCTGCTGCGGACTGTGCACAGTGTTCTCTACACGGTCCCTGCCCTGGTTCTGAGGGAAGTCATTCTTGTGGATGATGACAGCACTGAAGGTGCGGAATGCAAAGGCTGTTTTTGTATCATTGTTACCGCTTTGAGATCAAACTCACCCCTCAGAAACAAGAACTGTATGCATTCCTGTAGCACCTTTGAACCTATTGAAACATTCCGCAGCAATTCACAGAAGGAATGCCAGGCAGTACTTGATACTGAGCCGTACGTGAGAGAGATTCTTGGACAGGTGGCCAAAGATTTCAGGAGAGAGAGAGAGGTAGAGAAGTTTAGGGAGGGAATTCCAGACCTTACAGCCCAGGCAGCTGAAGGGCTCAGCTTCCAGATGGAGCGATTAAAGTCCTGGATGCTGGAGCAGTCAGAATTGAAGGATTTCTCAGAGGGTTGCAGGGTGAGAAGAGACTACAGTGAGAGAAACCAGCTGAGGTGGGGGAGGGATTTGTGTGAAAGCATGAGAATGATATGTTTAAGTCATTGCTGTAAGTGGGAGCCAGCGTAGGTTGGGGAAACATAAGAGTGATGGGGAAACGGGACCTGCTGCGAGTTGGAATCTGGGCAGCAGAGTTTTATTTGAGATGAGGTTATTGGTAACTGTAAGATTGTTAGGAGAGCACTGGGATAGTTGAAAGTGGAGGTTACAGTGGCACAGATATCCCAGTTGGCTAAATACGACACCAGGTTTGAGAGCAAGAGGGACAGATCAGGAAGATTTACCGGGTGTCACAGTTTCAAGATGCACCAGATCCAGATTCCAGATTCCAGATTAGTGTTTCTGGAGATGTTTCCAATCCTGCAGAATGCACCTGCAGTACATCTTGCCATCTTCTCTGTTTCCTTTTATTCACTTATGGGCGGTGGGTGTCAATGGCTGGGCCAGCAATTATTGCCTGTCCCTATTGCATTTGAGAAGGTGGTGGTGAGCTGCCTTCTTGAACCGCTGCAGTCTGTTGACCCAAAATGTCCTTAGGGAGGGAATTCCGGGATTTTGACCCACTGACAGTGAAGAAACGGCGATATATTTCCAAGTCAGGATGGTGAGTGGCTTGGAGGGGAATTTGCATGTGTTGGTGTTCCCATCTATCTGCTGCCCTTGTCCTTCTAGATGGAAGTGGTCGTGGGTTTAGAAGGTGCTGTCTTAAGATCTTTGGTGAATTTCTACAGTGCATCTTGTAGTTAGTATGCAGTGCTGCTGCTAAATGTCAGTGGTGGAGGGAGTGGATATTTGTGGATGGGTTGCCAATCAAGGGGACTGCTTTGTCCTGGATGGTGTCAAGCTTCTTGAGTGTTGTCGGAGCTGCACTCATCCAGGCAGGTGGGGAGTATTCCATCACACTCCTTACTTGTGCCTTGTAAATGGTGGACAGGCTTTGGGGAGTCAGGAGGTGAGTCACTTGCTGCAGTATTTCTAACCTCTGACTTGCTTTTGGAGCCTCAGTATTTATATGGTGGGTCCAGTTGAGTTTCTACTGATTCATTGAATTTTTTCAGCCCAACGTTGGACCAGTTTCTGATCTGGGATGTCAATTACAAATTGTCCGTTTGGTTTAGAGAGATGATGGCAAAAATAGCCAAGGTCCCCAGACTCAAAAGCTATCCCCGATTTTTGCTGGAAAAGGTCACAGTGGCTCAACGGGAGCACTTGCACGTCTGATTCAGAAGGTCTTGAGTTCAATGACTTGAATGCAACAAAAGTAAGTTCAATGTTTAGTGCATATTAATCAATTAAAACCTTCTAACCGATTAGACATTTAACAGCATCTTAGGTTTGTTTAGTGCATCCTCATCAGTGGGGTGACCCTTTGATCCTTTACTTCTAAATTCTGTGTCTGATGCTACCTCTCTCACTAACACCTGAAGAAGGAGTAAGAGTCTGAAAGCTTGTGTTTTCAAATAAACCTGTTGGACTATAACCTGATCTCACGTGGATGTGAGAGATCCCGTGGTCACTGTTGCTTGCTGGAGGTTTCTCTGCGGTGCTCTACCCAACAATTATCCTGCAGCGAACATAACCGCAAAAGGGAGGATCTGGTTCCTTATCCCATCGCTGTTTGCAGGAGTTTGCTGTGCGTGAATTGGATGCAGTCTTACTAAGGTTGCAACAGTGACTGCAGTTCAGAACCTATTCATTGTCTGTGTGAATTGCTTTGGAATGTTCTGAGGTCATGAAAAGTGCTGCATAAATATAGATTCTTTCTCTGTATTGCTGACCGACAGACAGGGAATAGAAAGCCTGTTCAATTGAGAGTCTCCCAATTGGTTAATGAACTGTGCAGCCATTTTTGCGTTGGTGCGGGAGAGATGGTTCAGTGGGCAAACAAAAGGTGACCAATCGCCAAGAACGTGGTCTGGGGTTGGGGGGGGGTTGAGGGGGTTGGTGGTATTGAGTGTTTGTATGATTATAACTCCCCAGGGGCGCACTTAGTCAGAGTTGTCAAGCATAACAGTACCACATTCTCACTCGCAGACTACTTGAAGGAACGGCTAGACAGCTATGTCAAGAATCTCCCGGTGGTTAAGGTGGTCAGACAGCCAAAGAGGAAAGGATTAGTTTCGGCCAGGTTGCTGGGGAGCTCCATAGCGACAGGAGAGGTCCTGGCCTTTCTCGACTCGCACTGTAAGTACGAATGCTTGTGCTTTCCCTCTGTTAACCGAACACCTCTGGCGCCTTATCCACGGTTTCGTGGCCTCCCAGTACCTTTCCCCTGATCCCTCACCCTCTCATTGAGTCATAGAGAAGTAGAGCACAGTCCCTTCGGTCCAACCTGTCCATGCTGACCAGATATCCTAAATTAATCCAATCCCATTTGCCAGCATTCGGCCCATATCCCTCTAAACCCTTCCTATTCATATTGCCATCCAGATGCCTTTAAAATGTTGTAATTGTACCAGCCTCCACTACTTCCTCTGGCAGCTCATTCCATAAACACACTACCCTCTGCATGAAAAAGTTGCCCCTTAGGTCCCTTTTAAATCTTCCCCCTCACATGAAACCTATGCTCTCTAGTTTTGGACTCCCCTGCACTATGAAAAAGACCTTGGCAATTCACCCTATGCATGACCCTCATAATGTTGTAAACCTCTATAGGGTCACCCCTCAGCCTCCGACACTCCAGACACAGTAGTCCCAGCCTATTCAGCCTCTCCCTGTAGCTCAACCCCTCCATGCCAGCGACATCCTTGCAAACCTTTTCTGAACCCTTTCAAGCTTAACAATGTGGTTCCTATAGCAGGAAGACCAGAACTGAACGCAGTATTCTGACAGCGGCCTCACTTCTCAACTCCGGTGAACTCAATGAGACCCCGTCTGATTTCTCCACACACCGGAGAATATGGTCCGACCTGTTCACGTGATGGGCCACACTTCAATGTTCTTCCTCACTCACGGGGCCAGTGAGCAGATTTCTGACAGATACGGCACAAGAAATTTATCTTTGAGAACTCTTGTGGTGAGAATTCTTCTTCCAGGTGCTCCTGGAAGCAGAGTGCGGACACCATCCGCCACTGACCCTCCTGTGGCTGTCACCACAGATGTGTGGCGGCCCTTATCTAGAGTCATAGAGAGCTATAGGATGGAAATAGACCGTTCGGCCCATCGCTAGTCAAAAAAACAACCACCTAAGCAGTATGGTGGCTCAGCGGTTAGCACTGCTGCCTCACAGTACCTGGGACCCGGGTTCGATTCCGTCCTGGGGTGGCTGTCTGTGTGGAGTTTGCGCATTCTCCCTGTGTCTGCGTGGGTTCCCTCCGGGTGCTCCAGTTTCCTCCCACAGTCCAAAGATGTGCAGGTTAGGTGGATTGGCCATGCTAAAATTGCCTGTAGTGTTCAAGGATGTGTAGATTAGGTGGGTTAATGGGGGGATGGGTCTGGGTGGGATTCTCTGTGGGTCGGTGTGGACTTGTTGAGCCGAAGGTCCTGTTTCCACACTGTAGGGATTCTATGATCTATGATAATTATTCTAATCCCATTTTCCACCACTTGGTCCACTGCCTTGTATTCCTTGACATCACAATTGCACACCTAAATACTTCTTTACGTCCCGTCTAATTTTTCCAGCTGCTGTGAGGACCCCCCACTCCCCCCACCCCGAGATCTGTACGTTAGCAAAGGCTTCCAGAAACAGAAGTCAGTGTTCTCGGACTTTCTCAGCGGCTGTGTGGCCATGAAGCTTAAAAGGAATATTGGCCATTATGGGAGCACCCAGCTGTGCTGCGCTGCTTGGCCTGTTAATCACCAGCTCGATGCTCCTCTTCTTATTGGATTTGGTTGCATAGGTGAATGAAAAAAGTGCTAAATGCCCATCCGTCATTTGTCCTTCATCATTTCATTTGCATCGGGGCACTGGGAAAGGATTTTACCGCAACAGGGACAGTGTGTCCCTCCCCACCTGCATTTCGTGCATCATTGTTTTGTGATTTTTGTCCCCCACCCCTCCACCTACCGTTTTGAGAGTGACGATTGTCGTTGAAAATAAGAAAGGGCTGGGAAATATTAAAGAGATAGTAGGAACTGCAGATGCTGACGAATCTGAGATAACAAGGTGTAGAGCTGGATGAACACAGCAGGCCAAGCAGCATCAGAGGAGCAGGAAGGCTGATGTTTCGGGCCTAGACCCTTCTTCAGAAATGGGGGAGGGGAAGGGGGTTCTGAAATAAATAGGGAGAGAGGGGGAGGCGGATAGAAGATGGATAGAGGAGAAGATAGGTGGAGAGGAGACAGACAGGTCAAAGAGGCGGGGATGGAGCCAGTAAAGGTGAGTGTAGGTGGGGAGTTAGGGAGGAGATAGGTCAGGGAGGACGGACAGGTCAAGGGGGCGGGATGAGGTTAGTAGGTAGGAGATGAGGATGGGGCTTGAGGTGGGAGGAGGGGATAGGTTGGAGGAAGGACAGATTAAGGAGGCGGAGACGAGCTGGGCTGGTTTTGGGATGCGGTAGGGGGAGGGGAGATTTTGAAGCTTGTGAAGTCCACATTGATACCATTGGGCTGCAGGGTTCCCAAGCGGAATATGAGTTGCTGTTCCTGCAACCTTTGGGTGGCATCGTTGTGGCACTGCAGGAGACCCAGGACGGACATGTCGTTTGAGGAATGGGAGGGGGAGTTGAAATGGTTTGCGACTGGGAGGTGCAGTTGTTTAGTGCGAACAGAGCGTCGATGTCTTGTGCAAGTGAGAAAGCAGCAGGTATCTCACTAGATTAGTGTTCAATAGAGCGATGACAAAGTAAAGTCATTGACTAGACTGCTCATTTGTTCATAAAAATCCACATTTTGTTCTCACCGGTTAGCAAGATGTCTTATTTTTTCGAAATTTGATCGCTGGCCTTGTGACTGAGATATAGGGATGAAATGTGGCCCCTTGTGGGAAAATGTTGGACAACCATGCACTAGAAGATGGAAGGGGATGGGATGTAGTGCGGACAGGGTACGAGGAGGGTGAGGTGCTGGGAGATGGAGGACTGACAGGAGAGGTGCCAGGAGGGCAAGGTGTCTGGAAGTCAAAGAAATGCGGGTGAAGAATCAGGAGAGAGGAACTGGGGGGGAGAGGAATCAGAGGGAGAGGTGAGGGATCAGGGAAAAAGTATTGGGAAGCCAAGGAACCGTGGATAAGGTACCATGAGGGAGAGCTACCAGGAGAGCGTGGAGTCCCGGCTGAGGTATTGTGAGACCATGGTCCTTGGGATGGTGAAGAATCGAGCTGAGATACCAGGAGAGAGTCTAGCATCGGCAGTTCTTACTATTCACCAGGAGAGTGTGGTGCCTGAAATTAGGGCCCAGGAGAGAGTAGGGTAAATCACAGAATCCCTACAGTGTGGATGCAGGCCATTTGGGCCAAAGGGTCCACACCAGCATTCTGATGATCATCCTGCCCAGACCCACCCTCTATCCTATCCCTGTAACCCTGAAGTTCCCATGCCTAACCCACCTAGCCTGCACATTAGCATCCACATTAGCATGAATTTAGCATCCACCTAACCTGCACATCTTTGGAGCATGGGAGGAAACCGGAGCACACCACGCAGACATGGGGAGAATTTGCAGACTTCACACAGACAGTCGCCCCCCAAGGCTGGAATCGAACCTGGATCTCAGAGGCAGCAGCGCTAACCACTGAGCCACCGTGCCAGCCAAACCAGGCTTCTGTAAACGTATCCAGCAGCCCTAGGGACTCCTCAGCGCTCGGGCTGGGGACGCCATGCTTCGGGTAGCGGCGCGGGTTAGGAGCAGCAGTGATTTCTGTCCCCGAACCTTTGAGGATGAGTGATGTGAGGTACTGGGAGGGTAAAGTGCGACCCGTCCAAGTCCTTGTTGTCCCGTATCAGAGCCGCTGACTGTGCTGCCTTCCTCCCTCTCTCTACAGGTGAATGTTTCGACGGTTGGCTGGAGCCCTTGCTGGCCCGCATTGTCGAGTCGGAGCAGGTGGTAGTGAGCCCACAGATCACCTCCATCAACCTGCACACGTTCGAGGTGGAGAAACCATCTCCGTACGAGCGCAACCACTCCCGTGGCACCTTCGACTGGTCGCTGTCCTTCAACTGGGAGGAGCTGCCCGCCTATGAGAGCGACGCCAGGAAGGACGAGAGCTTCCCTTTCAGGTGAGCAGTGGCGGAGGGGCTCCCAACCCTCTCGTCACGACAAGACTTCCTCTTTCATCCCTTATTCACAGGCAGAGGTCCTGTACTCGAGCACCATACCCGCAGCATCAGAGCAGCTCCAAGGAGAAATTCTCAGTCTGTAGCACCCTGCGGCTTCGGAGTCGGAAAGTCACAGGTTCCCAGGCCCGCTCCAGCCATTCAACCCTGTAATTCAGGCTAACCCTTCACTACATGACAGAGGGAGTGCCGCACAGTCAGAGGTGACCCTCTGCCCAGTGCATGTAAAAGGAAACCACTATTTTGAAAAAGAGTCAAGAATGTTTTCTCCCTGCTGTTCTGCCCAATATTTATTCTAATTATTCCAGCATCACTAAAGCAAATTGTCCGGACATTTTAATGCTGCAGTTTGTCGGAGCTTGCTGTGTTCAGCTGATTGCCCTGTTTCCCACTCTCGAGCAAACAACTACACTTTCCAGGGTTGAGAGAGAGAGAGACGTTCCTTTCCTTTACCCCTCCCTTGCCTTTTGGACATGGTGTTAAACCTATGACTCCTTCTGCCTGCTCAGGTAGGAGATTCCCGCAGCACCATTTTGAAGAGAGTGAGGGAGTTCTGCCAGTGCCCTTGTAAAGGTTCACCTCTTGGCCAAACCCTGCCACAAGCCGATAAACGGGCCTCTTACCTGGTTGCTGATTGTGGTGCTCTATGGCGTCCAGTTTGTCTTCTGCAGGACAGCATTTCAAAAAGCAATTCATTGGCGGCAAAGCAGTGTAGGATGTTGATTGAATGTGAAACCTTACTCATTCAAATGAGCAGAGAGAGGTGTAGGGAAAATGCATAGCGTTACACCAGGCCTAGGTCACAGATACACAGATCGCTCAGTCCCACAGGTCTGTGCTGGCATTTTTACTGCAGGCCAGACAGATGCCTCCTACTTCATCCCATTCCATCAGCACACATCCTTCTATCCCTTTCTCCCTCAGATATATCAATGCTACCCATCTTAACCTCTCCTTGACAACTTCAACCTGCTCCATACTCTGTGGGTAAAGAGGTTTCTTGGGAATTCTGTTTTGGTTTTACTGGTGATTTCCCCCAAGTTTATAACCTCTCCTTTCAGAGTTGCTGCACAAGTGGAAGGTTCCCTCCGCATCCTCAGCTATTAGGTCACACCTCAACCTTTTCAGTCAGTCAAGATCCACAGGGAGTCAAAGAGCTACATGGGGCAGCCATGGCAGTGGAGTTCTGCCCACAATCTGATCAACCGTGGTCTTGTTGAATTGGCGAAGCAGGATGATGTTCTTATTTTTGCTTCTGTTCTGTAGGTCACTTGGTTCTTCTCTCCATTGAACAAATCTTCGGCGGCACAGTGACTCAGTGGTTAGCACTGCTGCCTCACAGCGCCAGGGATCCCGGTTCGATTCCAGTCTTGGGCGACTGTCTGTGTGGAGTTTGCTCATTCTCCCTGTGTCTGCATGGGTTTCGTCCGGGTACTCCGGTTTCCTCCCACAGTCCAAAGATGTGCAGGTTGGGTGCTTTGGCCATGTTAAATTGCCCATAGTGTCCAGGGATATGGAGGCTGGGTGGATTAGCCATGGGAAATGCAGGGTTATAGGGATATGGTGGAGGTGTGGGTCTGGGTGGGATGCTCTTGAGAGTGTCGGTGTAACTTGATTGGCTGAATGGCCTGCTTCCAAACTGTAGGGCTGAAAGTCTCAGCCTGTTCAATTTTTCCTGATAATTATATCTTCTTAATTCAGGTGTATCTTTGTGAATCTTTTTCTTTCCTCTGTCTGGTGATTCTGTATCATTTTAATAAAACAGAAAGCAGAACCGTTTACTGCACCTTCAGGGGGCTGACCAGTTGATACATATCTAACATAACGTGCCTACCTAACATAATTTCATGCCGCTAGCTAGAGAACACAGTGCTCGGTCAGCTTTTGTTTTATTAGAAACAAAATCAGAAATTGCTGGAGAAACTCAGCAGGTCTGGCAGCATCTGTAGAGACAAAGAAGAGTTAACATTTCAGATCCAGTGACCCTCCTTCAGAACCCTCTTTTTCTGATTTCCAGCATTTGCAGTTCTTTGTGTTTTTTTTTTGTTTTGAATGGCCTTGTTAACCTGATTATGTCTTTTAGAACAAAATAGTTTGACACGAATTGAGGTTCATCGATCAGTCATGCAAGGTTTCATTGCTGTTTTTTGCAGGACACCAGTAATCTCTGGTGGACTTTTTGCTGTCTCTAAGGCCTACTTTGAACACATTGGAACCTACGATTCCCAAATGGAGATATGGGGTGGAGAGAACTTGGAGCTGTCCTTCCGGGTAACGTAAGCTTGTGCAAATAAGACAAAATCAACACCATTGTGCTACCTTGTACATAACCTGAATGTGTAGGAAAGTGTACATGGTAGAATCTCGTTATGCTGATCTCTGCTGATTGGGATTAAATAATTAAAGGGACCATGTACTTGTTGACCTGGTCCCAGAATTTTAAAATTACTTCCTTGTTTTCAAATCCTTCCATGCCCTCACCCTCCCTATCACTCTAACCTCCTCAAAAGCTACATCTCCGCCAATGCTGGCCTCTTGTGAATCTCTGATTTGCTTCACCCTCACCATTGGAAGCCATGCCATTTGCTGCGTATGCCCTGAGCTGTGTAACAGCTTCTCTAAATATTTCCGGCTCTCTCCTCCTCTCTTCCTGATAATATCATAATAATCTAAGTCCTGGATATACAGGACACAGTCTCAAAACTTGCAGATGGCTCAAAGCTTGGAAGTATTGAGAACTGTGGGGGAAGACATTGATCACACTTTGAGGAGATAAAGGCAGGCTGATGGAACTGGCGAACCTGTGACAGATTAAGTTTATGTAGGGAAGTGTGAAGTGATTCATTTTGTAAAGAAGAATGGGATGAGCAATATAAAATAAAAAAGATGCAGTTCTAAACTAGTGAGGGACATGTGCATAGAACATTGAAGGTGGCAGGGTAGGGTTGAGAAAGCAGATGCAAAGGCAAACAAGATCCTGGCTTTTTAAACAGAGAGAGCACAGAAAAGCAAAAAATTTATGCCGATCCTTTTTAAAACACTGATTCAGTCTAAAGTGAAGTAATGTGTCCAGTTCTTGGATCACACTTTATGAAGAAGTGCGTAAGTTTTAGTGAGGGTGCAGAAAATACTTAGGAGAGTGTGGTTCCAGGGTTGAAGGACTTGAATTTACATGGATAGATTGGAGAAGTTGGGGTTGTTCTTCCTCTTAGAGCAGAGGAGGTTGGGGGAAGATTTACACTGTTCAAAACCAGAAGGGGCTTAGATAGGGAAGAGACTGTTCTTGCTAGCAGAAGGTCAAGAACCAACAGATTTAAAATGATGAGCAAAAGAACTAAAGACAGCGTGAGGAAACTTTTTTTGCACAGAGATCTGGGATACAAATCTATGAATCAGAGGAGGAGTAGGCCACTCAGACGCCAGCTCCACCATCCTGTAAGATCGTAACTGATCTGGTTACTCCATATTCCAGCCAACCCCTGATAACCTTTCAAACACACCCCTCCCCCCTTGCTTATCAAGAACCTATCTACCTCTGTCTTAAAAATATTGAAAGATTCTGCTCCCACTCACTTTTGAAGAAAAGGTCCATAGGCCTCTGTGAGCAAAAGAAATTTCCTCATCCCTGTCTTAAGTTGATGCCCTTTATTTTGAAATGATGTTTCAAAACGCCTAGTTCTAGTTTCTTCCACATGAGGAAACACCATCTCTGTATCCACCCTGTCAAAACCCCTTAGGATCTTTTGTTTCAGTCAAGTTATCTCTTACTCTTTTAAACCACAGTGGATGCAAGTCAAGCCTGTCCAAGCTTTCCTCATAAGACAACTTACACCTAACTGCTCCCAAAGCATTTGCATCCCTCCTTAAATAAGAAAACCAATACTGTATACGGCATTCCAGATGTGCTCTCACCAATGCTCTGTATGTTGTCTTTTAAAGTTCAGTTCATTGAGCATGGGCATTTCTAGCTAGGACAATGTTCATTGCCCATCCCTAACTGCTCTGAGGAAGGTGGGTAGTGAGCTGCCTTCTTAAACTGCTGAGGTCTTTAGGGTGAAGGGGCACCCGGAGTAATGTTGGGAGTTCCAGGTTTTTGACCCAGCATCAGTGAAGGAATGGCGGTGTACTTCCAAGTCAGGATGCTGTGTGGTTTAGAAGGGAACTTGCTGGTGATAGTGTTCCCATTGCATCTGCTGACCTTGTCCTTCTAGATGGTTGAGGTTGCGGGTCTTAAAAGTGCAGTCAGAGGAAATCTGGAAATCATAACCTCCCTACTTCTGAATTCGACATTTCAAACAATAAGTTATAACATTCAATTTGCCTCTCCAATTACCTGCAGTACCTGCCTACTCAACATTTGTGATTCATGTATCAGGACACTCCCTCACTACCGCACAGCTCTGCTATCTCCCACCACTTAGATAATATACCTCATAATTCTTCCTGCCAAAATGAACAATTTCACATTTTCCTACATTATACTTAATTTCTCAGGCCTTTTCCCACTCATCTATCTGTATCTATTAGCCTCCTTATGTCGTCTTCACAATTTATTTTCCTAAACTAAGTTTCTCTCATCAGCAAAATTACCAATGACTTTGTCCAAGTCATTTATATGATTTTTAAGGAGTAGAGGCCCCATTAGTGATCCCCGTGGCACATCATTTATTACCGTCAGAAAATTATCCACTTACGTCTACGCTCTGTTCCCTGTTAGCCAGCCAATCTGTTCATGCCAATATGGTATTTCTGAGACCATGAGTCTTCACTTTCAACAATAACCTTTAATGTGACATCACATGAAATGTCTTTGGAAATCTAAGTACAATCCATCCACTGGTTCCCCTTCATCACATTATTTCCTCAAAAACCCAGTTGGTTAAACATGATTTCCTTTTCACAAAACCATGTTGACTCTGCCTGATTACACTGAACGTTTCTAAGTGCCCTGTTATAACATCTTTAATAATGGCTTCTAATATCTTCTCTAAGACTGGGATCGCCTGTTGCTTCCCGCTTTCTGTCCCCGACCCTTTTTGAGTAAAGGTCTTACATTCGCTCTTTCCAATCTCATCAAACCTTCCCCAAATCTCGAAAGTTTTGCAAAATTAAAAGCAATGCATCAAATGCTTCACTAGCCGCTCATACATTACAGGTTGTGTATCCTTTATCTGCATGTCAGAAAGCTGAAAAAATCCTAGAGACCGAATATCATTTTGAAAGCAGACCCGACTGCGCTGACGGACACTTTCACCAAGTACCCTCCTACCTGCTGCTCACCTTGACCATGACTAAATGTCTGATCACTCACAGGTCTGGCAGTGCGGTGGGAAACTTGAGATCGTACCCTGCTCTGTTGTGGGGCATGTGTTTCGCAGTGACACTCCGTACACCTTCCCAGATGGAGTGCAGGTCGTGTATCGCAACCTGGTACGAGTGGCTGAGGTGTGGATGGATGAGTACAAGGACATCTTTTATCATCGGATTCAGGAAGCAGCAGAGATTGCTCAGAAGGTGACTTTCACTGAGGAAGTCGGGATCATGTGGGAACTGTGGCATGGCTGGGGAAGATGTAAAGAAAGGACTCAGTGCCGTTTTTAGAGGAATTTTGGATGGGGAGACAAACCAAGGGTATCCTTATTTAATACTGAGTAACAGGGGTGAACTGATTCCTTTCCCTTCTCCACTCTCCCAGTGGTCACAACAAACTTTGAATTTAACAGGAAGGTGATATAGAGCTCAGCATCAGATACAAATCAGCCAGTGCCTTTATTAACAAGTAAAGGACTAGTTTATTGCAAACAAAATTTACTGAAGCAAAGCTGTAAGGATTATCAATGAAAAGTTCAAATTGGTAAATATAAACAACAGGTAATACACACGCACACACACGCACAAAATATCATGTCTACAAAAACTAAAAGCACTCTACTGAGCATTAACTTGGGAATGAGAGAGGGGATATTGAAAACAAACAGTGGAGAAAAGCAGAGTAATTTGTGCTCTCCCTCTGTCTCTCACAGGGTTTGTTCGGTGACGTATCTGAGAGGAAGCGGATTAGAGAGAGGTTACGTTGTAAGGATTTCACCTGGTACCTCAACAATGTCTACCCCGAGTTGTTCATACCAGACATCCACAAGACAATGAACCCATCAGTGAGTTGACTGTCTTAGGGATCGATAACTTCACAGTGCAGGAAACTCCTGAAACATGGTTTGTGGATGCTTGCTGCATTAGTTCAAAATAACAACTTGCCTTCAAGCAGCAAAGAATCCCAACAGCATAAAAAGTGGCACTGAGTCACAAATGTGGATATTCAAACAGGTGACCCGGACACCAGGTCAAAACTACAGGCTTCATAAAACCAGAAGTAGGCCATTCAGCCCATCATTTCTGCTCTGCCATTCAGAGTTTTTTTTAGTGGGCTTAAGGGAGGTGGCAAGGTTTAGAGTTCAAATTTCACAGTTCAGGGTCTCAGCAGCTGGGGAAACGGCTACCGATAGTGAAGCAACTGAAACCGGGGTTGGAGAAGGGGCCGGAATTAGGAGACCAGGCATAGATAAGGTGGAGGCAGGGAGGTTGTTTCCGCTAGCAGATGAAACCAGGACTAGAGGGCATCGCCTCAAAATAAAGGGAAACAGATGTAGGACTGAGGTCAGGAGGAACTTCTTCACCCAAATTGTTGTGAATCTGTGGAATTCCCTGCCCAGTGAAGCGGTTGAAGCTACCTCGCTGAATGTTTTTAAGGCAAGGCTAGATAAATTTTTGAACAGTAAAGGAATTAAGGGTTATGGTGAGAGGGCGGGTAAGTGGAGCTGAGTCTCAAAAAGAGCAGCCATGATCTTAATAACTGGTGGGGCAGGCTCAAGGGGCCAGATGGCCTACTCCTGCTCCTAGTTCTTATGTCCTTATTTCGGAGGGATTCGCGGCTGGAGGAATTTACAGAAGCAGTGAGGGGGATGAGGTCAAATTTGGAATTGCAAACAAGGATAGGAAATCCCAAGTTGTCAGATCAGGAGTCTGTGTAGGAGCAGTGGGCACAGTGGTTGGTGGAGCAGCAGGGGTCTGGGTGAATTGGGAGGAGTTCTGTCTGTGGAAAGGACGGAACACGGTTGACCGGGCGGGAATGCCTTGGAATATTCAAGTCTAGGAGGCAACAAAGAAGGCTGTAGTGACAAGTTTGCACTGGGAGCAGGCAGTAATATGGATGGGGTAATGTTGTACAAGGTAATGATTCTGCAAAGGTCAATGTTGAAATTGCATCAGCTCCACCCAATATTTTAGGTGGAGATTCGAGTTCTACCTGAGTATTTTAGGAAACAGTTGTATTCCCTACAACCCCCAAGTGTCCTTAGTAATTAAGCCTGACCAGTATTCAAGTTGCACGCATTGTTTTGTGCAATAAGCATCTTGTCAGCAAAGGCGAGTGACCCTTCTGCTTAGGCTTATCAAAGGTCTGTCCTCTATCACTGATAATTAGACAGGCTGTGGACACAGTATAGACAAAGGAGGATTGGTGGCAGCAAACTACCTCAAACAGCCCCTTGCCCTGTGCCACACGCTGGCAGAGGCCATCAGGGCAAATACCACAGACAGGACCCAGAATTAGCTTTCGAAATGGAGACCTTACAAAGGGTTGAAGTGTTCTTGGGGGAGATCACTGTACACATTCTTGCTCAAGGTGGTGGATAGAGGCCGTGGGATGTTCACAGGCTGATTTCCTGCCTTCTCGAGTGTCAGCCTTGTCCCTGTGAGTAGCCTTTTAGGTGTTTGTTCAAGGCCAACTCCCGAGGTGCAAACACACACAAATGCGAACACGGCTGCTGGGGCTGTTGTACAAAACGTGGGGCATTTTTTCTTGGGAATGATACACAGATAAAGGGAATGAAAGGATAGGTTTCACACCTTCGAAGAATTAATATACTTTGCTAACTGTCTAGGAGTGTTGCAAGGCTCCTTCAAGGGCTTGGTTACCCAGCTTTGAGACTCAGGCCCTGGTCAGTGCTAAATTAACTGGTGCATGTTAAGTTTGGAGCTTATAGGAATGGTGCAGTATTTCAGCATTTCAGTACGTCAACTGCAAATCCGCAATGTGACTTTATCCCAGCGCATCTTCCCTGATATCTGTAATCCTTTCATATGTACTCCTGTCACAGCTGATGAACCGAGGGAACCAGCTCTGCTTGACCATTGGACCAGCGGGAAGGTCCGTGTTAATGTATCCCTGCTACAGCCTCCAGGAACAGCAGGTAAACAAAGCAATTGGGAGGATCCCAGTGTGGGAAGCCTTGAAACCCACGCAGTTGCACTCTGCCCACCTCCCCCAGCCACTCCCCAAGCATTCCTTCTTCAGAACCAGCCAGACTTTAAGGTCCTTGATTCAGTCTGTAGTGACCAGTCATCACTCTATGAGTCAGAAGGTTGTAGGTGTGGGTTCAAGTCCTGGCCCCTCCTGAGAAGCTTGAGCACTCAGCCCAGGTTGACCTTACTGAGGGAGAGTTGCTGGAAGTGCCACCCTGTGGAGCAAGGTTCTGTCTGCCCCCATGTAAAAGCGGGAAGGACCGGGACTGCTCTCAGTGCCTTGGCCAATGTTTATTCCTTGATTAGGGGAGGCGATGGCCTAGTGGTATAATCGCTGGACTGTTAGTCTGGAGACCCAGTTTCGAATCCTGCCACAGCAGATAGTGGAATTTGAGTTCAATAAAAATATCTGGAATTAAGAATCTAATGATGACCATGAACCCATTGTCAATTGTGGGAAAAACCCATCTGGTTCACTCATGTCCTTTAGGGAAGGAAACTGCCATTGTTACCTGGTCTGGGCCTACATGTGACTTCAAACCCACAGTAAATGTGGTTTACTCTGAACTGCCCTCTGGGTAATTAGGAATGGGCAATAAATGCTGCCTGGCCAGCGACGCCCTCATTCTGTTAATGAATATAGAAAAGAAAAGATCAGCATCATTGAGGAACGAATGGGGCTTATCTGCTCATTGCTGTTGGTGGGAGCTTCCTACGAGTAAATTAGTTGCCATGTTCCTTATATTGCGAAAGCAACTGCACTTCCAAAGGGGCTTTATTGGCTGTAAAAGTTTTGCATTCTTTCAGGAAAACTCGACGACAGTAACGCAAAGCGAATTCTCACCCTGGCCGCCTTTTCTCTCCCCTCTCTGATTCCCCACAGTATTTTGAGTACACGTCCCGCAGTGAGATCCTCACCAACTCCTCTCACCCCCTGTGCCTACACGCTGGGATTACCATGGTGCTGTTGGTCAAGTGTGCTGCCCATGGACAGATCGGTGATGTACCGCCGGCTCAGAAGTTCCAAATCAAACCGGTGAGTGCGAGCTGTCCGGGACCTGGGAAACAGCCGTTGGAGGTACCTTTACAGTCTGGGTGGTCTTCTGATCTACAAACAGATCCCATTAATCCTCTCTTTGATCAAACACAACATTAAAACTTTTACCCCGCTATGCCACCTCCAGCGGTCGAGCTGGGGAATGATAGAGTGTTACGGATATCAAACATGTCCTGGAAGGAATATTTGGACTGGACCATCCTGTGGTCAGATATTGTCCTTTTGTGCTCTGGGACTGGACATGGGGAGACAGTAGGTCAGACAGAGTTCTCGTCTGGGACTGGGGAAATAAGATCTTGGCTGGTCTGCTTGTAACCTCTAATCCACATTCCTACCTATCCCTGATAACCTTTCACCCCCACCTCGCTTACCGAGAAGCTATGCATCACTGTCTTAAAAATAATCAAAGACTGTTTCCTGTGCCTCTTGTAGGAAGACAGTTCCAAAGACTAATGGATTTCTGCGAGAAAAGGTTTCGCTTCATCCCTGTTTTGAATGGGCGACCACTTATCATAGAGTCGTAGATATGTACAGCACAGAAACAGACCCTTCAATGTGAATCATCCTTGCCGACCAGACATCCTAAATTAATCTAGTCCTATTTGTCAGCATTTGATCTAAACCCTTCCTCTTCATATAACCATCCAGATGCCTTTTAAATGTTGAAATTGTACCAACCTCCACCACTTCCTCTGGCAGCTCGTTCTTTCCACGCACCACCCTCTGCATTAAAAGTTTGCTCCTCAGTCCCTTTTAAATCTTTCCCCTCTCACTTTAAACCTATGGCGTCTAGTTTTGGACTCCCCCAGCCTGCGGAAAAGACTTTGTCTATTCACCCTATCCATGCCCCTCATGATTTTATAAACTTGTATAAGGTCACCCCTCAGCCTCCAATGCTTTCGGGAAAATAGCCCCAGCCTATTCAGTCTCTTCCTATAGCTCAAAGACTCCAACCCTAGCAACATCCTTGTAAATCTTTTCTCAACCTTTTCAAGTTTAACAATATCTTTCCTATAGCAGGGAGACCAGGATTGAACGCAGTATTCCAAAAGTGGCATAAACAATGTCCTGTACAGCTGCAACATGACCTCCCAATTCCTATACTCAATGCACTGACCAATAAAGGCAAATGTACTCTTCTTTTTAAAATAGTGATCTTGTCCTAGATTCTCCCACAAGAGGAAACATCCTCTCCACATCTCTCCTGTCAAGACACATTAGGATCTTACATGTTTCAATCAGTTATAAAGATGAACAGCACAGAAACAGACCCTTTGCTCTAACTTGTCCACGCCGATCAGACCTCCTAACTTAATCTAGTCCCATTTGCCAGCATTTGGCTAGTGTCCCTCTCAACGCTTCCTATTCATATATCCATCCTTTTAAATTGTCTCCCTCTTTTTCTGATGAACCTAAGCAGAAACAAGCCCAGCCTCTCCAGCCTTTCCTCGTAAGACAACCTGCCCATACCAGGCATTAGTCTGGTAAACCTTCTTGGAACTGCTTCCCTTAAATGAGTTGACCAGTTCTCTGTATAACTGAAGGATAACCTTTCTAGTTTTGCACTCAAATCCACTCACAATTCATGATAGCATTCTACGAGCTTTCCCGATTACTTGCTGTACCTGCATACTAATCTTTTGCAATTCATGCACTAGGACACCCAGATCTCCTTCCATCTCAGAGCACCGGAATATCTCTCCATTCAGATAATATGCTTTTTCTCATTCTTCCTGCCAAAATGGGTAATTTTATCCACATCATGCTCCATTTGCCAGCTATCTTCACCTTTCAACCTATTTGTAGCCTTTTTCTGTCTTCATCACATAAAAAAGAATAAATAACTTGGACTCTGTCCCCTTGAAAAAGTTGGATGTGAAAGTTGGTTGACATTTTCAGTGTGGAAGCAGATATAATTTTGTCAGGTAAGGCTATTGAAGGATTGCGGGATTGAGGCAGGGTAATGGAGTTAAGACACAGATGAGCCAAAATGTAACTGTGTGGTGCCAGAACTGTCTGGAGTGTACAGAATTCCTTCTTCCTGGTTACCAACAAGTTTCATTCTGGACAGGAATAGTGTCGAAAGAACATGGCACCACACTTTAGGAAGGATGTGAAGGCTTTACACACTTTGGGACAGATGCTGAGGAGATTTCCCCAAATTGTTCCAGGTTCGGGAGATGTTAGGGTTAGGTTTAGGGTTAGACCTTTTCTGCTTGGAGTCATGGAGAATGAAGGGTGAATTGATAGAGGTGCACAAGATCATGACATTTTTGGATATGGTAGCCAGGGAAAGATGGTTCGAACGACTTATGAGACAGTTTTTTAAGGTTTTCGGCATGAGACACAAGGGGGATGTGAGACATATTTGCTTTTTTAAAACACAGTGAAAGGTGATGACCTGGAGTTGCTGCCCACAATCCAGATTTAGATTTAGGTTTTATTGTCATGTGTACTCAACTAAACAGTACAAGATTACAGTGAAAAGTGTACAATCTTGCCACATATGGCGCCGACATAGGTACAAAATCTTAGTTACAGAAGTAGAAAAACAAAGAAATAAGTTTAAGAAATTCAGCACGACTGTTTTGTTAGTATAAAAGCGGAAAAATGAAGTATAGTTAAAAGTCAGTGTGGTAGAAGCGGCGATGGTCAACGATTTCCAAATTGGATATGCATCGAAAGGAAATAGAATGCAGCACCAATGGGATAGAGTGGCAGGATACTTGAATTGACTCAGAGTGAGCTAGCATAGACTCGGCAGACCAAATGGCTTCCTTCTGTGCTGTAAATGACTCCTCGTCTCCTTCAAGGAGGGTGCAGAGAAGAACGGTCCCTGAAATCTGGACTGACTGAGGGCTCTTGTTTCTTTTTAACCCAGGGTGGAATGATCCTGAATCCTACGGTGGGCCTGTGCCTATCTGTGAAGGGCAGCTTTGTGAAAATGATGTCGTGTGACCCAGCGGACAGACGACAGCACTGGACTTTCATCAGTGAAACATCTGACTGAAACACTTGCCTGTCAGCAGCTTGGGGCAATGCTCCTGTACCGGAGGAGCTCAGCGCTGCTGACTCTGTACTTGGAGGTTTAAACACGTAGATGACCCTCCTGCCCCACCACTGCTCGCTTCTTCCCAACACATCAGCCAACATGTCTATGCCTGCCTTCACGTGGCCAGTCGGAATGCAAAAAGGTTCTGACCCAACCAGTTGGGCAATTCTTTCTTGACTGTGAATCAAATGTATTCAAATTTCAGTTTAAAGCGCAGTGATTTGGAAATAGAAAAGGAAACAAAATTATTTCAAAGCTTCTCCTATTTTACTTCTGGAATTTGCCTCCCGGAGTTCCTGCTGATTCCCGGGCTGCTTTGCAGGCTGTGTGTTACCGTAAAGTTGGGCTTTCGGGTTTTGGTCGACTGAGCTAAACCAGGGGCATAATGTCAGTCAGGCAGTGATCCTCCATGATGCACTCATCACTGATGTCTTTCTCAAAAAAGTCCGTTGTTACTTTATGGGACTGGAGGAAGAGAAACGTTATATTTTAAGAAGGACGAGGCCTTGGTTTGCCAAATTTTTCGCCCCTTGTTTGTGGGGATTGTTTACAAGCAATTTTCATGTGTGCCTTAGTTGTTTATTGTCAAAGATTAAACCGACTGTTAAACCCATTTGCAACGATGTTGTTTTATGCACAGGAAAGTGAGGGGGGCCATTCAGAATCCTCAAGCCCATTCTGCCATTCCATTAGATGTTGGCCGATCCTATCTTAAAGTTCTACATCTATCCTCCTTGGTTTCCTGATATGTTTAGCATAGGCCAGTGTAGTGATTGGAACGAGGTGGATCATTATTGACAATGAGATCCTTGTTTGGGGTTGTTAACCTGTGCCAATCAGGGACCCCAGGCTGTCCAATATAAACAAGGAATTCAGAGAGTCTCCTCACTTCAGGGACTGACTCCGAGCTGGCTGTCCACAGCCAGTGTACAGTGCACAGGTAAATAAATGGTGACTTTGTGACGGGATACCAACCTCTGGCTGAAACAACTGCACAGCAAAAAATAAAAGAAAATTGATTGACCTCAATTCAGAAATGCTCACATTCTCTGAGAGGCCCTGATTTGCATGCCCCTCTGTGTGGACGATGTCACCCCTGAAAGTGGCCCGGCTCATGTTGTTAAGCTTACGGCGTTTGGTTCTGGATTCTCCCCAGCAGAAACTGGTTTCTAACATCTGTGCATTCGCACCCTTCATTGTCACGAAAGTCTTCAATTCACACCATCCCGAATGTGAGCAAACTGCAGGAAACAAGGGGAGTACACCAGGAAACAATAACAGTGACCTGGGGCTCACTGGGCTCAGGTTGGGAGGAGGTACCTCTTCTGGGCCTGTGGGGTAGGGAGGCCTGGGCCAGAGGTACCCCAGAACCCTGAATTCATTGAGAATTAACTGGAGATTTATTCACTGCCGGAGAGCTATTGGCTCTGGAACTGGTTATGGTCTGATTTTCAGTGGGGTCCCACAGGACTTGTTATGTATGACTAATGTCAGTACTGATTTAGATTTAGGTGTTAGAGGGGATGAACTGCGTGTGTGTGGTTGGGAAGGCATATTTTAACTTCTGTGCACAGTCCCATTGATTACTCGCAGAGGCTGCAAATGTTGAGAAGGAGGCAACGTGGCTAAGTAGAGGAACTCAAACAGGAAGAAAACCAAGAGGTTGAAAGACATAACTCAGCATCAGCACCTATCAAAATCAGCTAGCCACTCGGTTGTCACAAACTGCTACAGAGTCTAAATGGAAATAAACTGAATAGGCTACCCAGCATTTGCCTCAACACTGAAGTGACAGTATTACCTCTGTCTTGTTGATCTTGCAATGTACAACTACGTAAATACTTTGGCTACATTGGCAGGTCAGATTGAGACAGATTTCTGCAGTAGTAACTCGCCTTCTGACTTTTCAAAGCCTGTCCATGAATAGTTGTTGGAGTGATGGAAAATAGTCTACTTGCCCGGCAGCTCCAACAACAGTCAAGAAGCTCAGCACAATCTAGGATAAGACAGCCTGCTTGATTGGCACCTCATCTAGCAACTTAAACGTTCACACCCTGAACCAAAATAAAAGTGGCAGCACTGCATACCATCTACAAGATGCATTGCAGCAACTGACCAAAGCTCCTTCAACAGCAATTTTCAACCCACAACCACTACCACTTAGGTCAGACAAACAGCACTGACAGCAAGTTCTCCCTGCAAACCTCACATCATCCTAATGTGGAACTATATTGCCATTCCTTCACTGCTGCTGGGTCAAAATCCTGGTACTCTCTCTCTCTCTAACAGCACTGTTGGGTACACCCCAAGGATCACAGTGATGGTAGAAGGCAGCTCACTAGCACCAACTTTCCAAGGGTAATTAGGGATGCGCAACAAGTTAGTAACTCACCTCCTTAATCCCTAAGCCTGTCCACCATCTACAAGGCACAAGTGAGAAGCGTGATGGAATACTTCCCACTGTTTGGATGAATATAGCTCCAACAAGACTCGAAGCTTGACACAATCCAGGACAAAGCAGCCAGCTTGATTGCCACAAACATTCACTACCAGCACACAGTAGCAGCAGTATGAATCATCTACAAGATGCACTGAAGAAATTAATCAAAACTCTTCAGACAATACCTGCCAAACCCATAATCACTTCCACCTAAAAGGACAAGGGCAGCAGATACACGGGAACCCCACCACCTGCAGGTACCTCTCCAACTCCCTCATCCTCCTGACTTAGAAATACATCGCCTTTCCTTCAGTGTGGTCGGGTCACGGTCCTCCTTGGGCAATCAGGGATAGCCAATAACTGCTGGCCCAAACAGCAATGCCCACATCCCATGAGTGAATTGAAAATAGGTAGACAAACAGGAGGCTGGAAGAACACGGCAAGCCGGGCAGCGTCTGGATCCAGTCCTGCAGAATGGTAATACTCGAAACGTTGACTGCTCCTCTCCTCCAGATGCTGCAGACCCTTCCTGACCCGAAACATCAACTTTCCTGCTGCCTGGCCTGCTGTGTCCTTCCAGCTCCATACTGTGTTATCTCTCAACTCCAGCACCTGCAGTTGTTGCTATCTCCTGTTTGTCTGCCTTGGATTCCAGCATCTGAAGTTTTTGTTTTGAGTCTAAGTGAACGAAAATAAGTTGGCCCTGCCAGTGATGCCCTTATCCCATGAACGTGTATATTTTTGGGGAAAACTCCCAACCCAAAAGAATCATGTGCATCTGCCCTATCAAACCCATTACAACTTTAAAATCAGGTCACCCCACATAAGTATTTCCCTGTCTCTCTCTCTCTCCCCCCCCCTTCATTGTATGGTTCAGTTCTTTATTAGTTGCACAAGTTTTCTAATAACTATGGGGGGGCATTAGATTGGTTTTTGATGAGTTGGAACAGGAAGGTAACTCAATGCCTCCTCCTATTGGATCTGACTGAAGATTCATTCATAGAAAAATTAAGGACCTCACACCCTATCCAACTGTCGTCCTCGACAATGCCTGCGCGAGAAAAAAAAAATATCCAAACGAACCGAAGAAGTGTGTAATTTACGGATGATTTGAAAAGAAGTCGATGAAAACACACACACAAAATAAAAATCGCATGGAACTGATTCCGTAAACCGGTGGTGGTGGAACCGTCGAGGCGTTGACAGCGGGCGGCTGCACTACCTGCCGGGGTCCTTTCGACCGCCGGGCGCCACGTGGTGTGGTGCCTTTAGGGGTGCGCACCCCGTGAGAGTAGCCCGTTTGCAGCCTGGCGGAGGGAGAGGTAGGAGGTTGCTGAGGGTCTGGGAGTAAAAGATGAATTTTAAAGTGTGTGTGTGTGTGTGTGTGGGAAGAGGCAGCGTTCACGAGTTGCAAATTTTTTTTTTTAAAAAAAAACATTGCTTCAGTGCATTTGCAGGAATTTTTTTTCCCCCCCATTCCTTTGATCGTAATGAGTTCAGTTTTGCAGATTTGTTGCTGTACATACTTAGATCGTTCACAAAGTTGACTGCAATTCAGGTGCCGCGTATATTTGGCTTTTTTTTTTCCCCTTTTTTTTCCCTTTGGAAAAAAAAATGACAGCTACTAAATCATCTGGTGGCTAATTTGATGCTCATTTGAATGTGTTTTGAAAATGCGGACGTTTGCAAACTTAAATCGGAGGATGGTGATAATGAGAGGCATGTTTCACCAATTCAGGGATTATTAATATGTTTTAACATTTTTATTTTTGAGCACTTTTTTTTTCCCTCGGGAGAGTTGGATTTCACTGTTGAGCATGTGGAGAGAGCATTCATTTTATTATAAAAAGCCTACATGGATTTTTTTCTTTTACTTCTTTTTAAACAAAAAATTTTTTTTAAAAATTAGTTTAATTGCACCTAAAATTCATCTGAAAATGTGAAACGCTTTCTGTAGACTGATGGTTTCGTATGAAAGAGTAAAGCATGATGAACAGCCTCGGATCCGCACGTGGAGTCAAGACTCTTTCTGCTGGTTGCTTGGGGCCTACTTTGATTTTTGTGGTGTTTCCTGCTTTTTAAAAATTATGA